AACTGAAAGGAAACAGCTGACACGGTGACCTTGGCCGTGGGGTGTCACGAGGGCTGGGAGGTCCCTCCCCCACTGGGCTGGGGATGGAGCGGGAGGGCCCATTCCACCCACTGTTTCCTACCCTGAGGGGCCCAGGGTTGCCTGCTCCACGCCCCAGCCCCTTCTCACTGGCTCTCAGCGCCCCCAGTCACCTCCCTGCCCCTTTCTCTTCAACTGCCACCTGGTCTGTCCCTCTTCCTCCTCCAATCTCAGCCCAAGCACAACCACTTCCAGGAAGCCCTCCTGGGTCTCTCCTGCCCTCAGCCTGGTGGCCCTGGGCCCCCCACTGTCACTGGTGAGGTTCCGGTGGGGTGGGGGAGCTGGAGGCCCTGCGGGTGCTAACTTGTCACCCATTAGCCGGGGGTGGGGACGGGGGAGCTGGACCCTGCCCGGGCAGCCTGAAGGGCACTGGGGCGTGCTGGGCCTTCCCCGCCTAGGGTGGGTTGTGAAACCCAGTGCAGGCCCGGGCCGCCCACTCGGCACTCAGGCCCGCTCCCTGTGCCGTCCCCAGGCCTCCCAGCGCCAGGACGCCACTGCCCTCCTGGCTCCCGCCGAGCTGCTGGCACCAGGATGGAGCCGGTGCCCTCTGGGACAGATACGGACCAGCGACTTTGGGTCTGCAAGGACGCCCCGCCCCAAGGCCCCTCAGCCCACCCACCCACCCCATGCTGGCCACCAGGGTCCCCTTTACCTAGAAGGAGCCACGCACGGGGAGCCCGCCTGCCACTGAGGGGTGGCTGCCACCCTGCGCCCGCCTGTGCACAGCTGGGCACGGCCTGTGGACAGTGAATGCCCTGCTCCGGAGTCAGGCCGAGCCCCTCCAACCCACGGCGTCCAGTGTCCAGAGCAGGCAGTGGTAGCCCGAGCAGGGGGGGGCGCGGGCGTGGTCCGGGCTGGCTGGGACGGTTGTGGAGTTCTAAACTCAACGGACTGACACCGCTCAGTGGGCCTGAAGCCCTTGCTGTTGGCGTCACGCTGGTGGGAGGCATGACGTGGGAATCGCGCACAGACACGCACCACGCAAGACCGCCCTCTCCCTGGCCAGGGGAGGCTGGGGGTCCTGTCCCCACCCTGGGGTGTTGGGGACTGTCCACAGCCAGAGGGTCTGCACTCAAACGCCCACGTGTTCCTCAGCCCTGCCCACGGGGCGGGCGCCCACCCATCCTCACTCGAGCCCTCGTCGAAGCACGGTCATGCAGACCCAGCTCGCCCACAGTGGCCCCCTGCCTGCTCCGGGCTCTGTCCCTGTTCCCGAACTCCTCCTGAGGCCCTGAGCAGGAGTCAGCCCCGCCGGCCCCACTCTGCCCTCGGCAGACTCCAAGACCCTGATGCCACGCCTGTGTCCTGTGCACCCAGGGCAGGGCCACCCCTCCCGCCAGGCCACTCGTCCTCTGGGGTCGCTGTGTGCACGCGTGTGGGTCCTG